CAGGATCTACCTCTCCTAAATCCATGTTGGCTATCCCTCAGAATGTTATTTGAATCCAGGTAATCTACCATTTTCACTTGGATTATAGCTTCCATTATTTTTCCAGTAATGCTAGTTAAACTGATTGGCATATAGTTTGCTGGATTACTTCTATCCCTTTTTTTGAATATGGGTGTTATATTAGCTTATGCTATCCTTGCGTCTTAGCACAGCGGCGCACAGCCATGCATCGCTGTTCAGCCTGCATTGGTGTGACCGTTCGCCAAAGAACTCTAACTGCACAAGAGAACCAAGTGGGAAATAAAAGTTCAGCAGGTCAGGGGCAGTCAGTGGGTACCCAGAGGTTGAAAGTGCCCTTCAAGATACATCCCCTTCATAGTGCCCTAAACCCAGTTACCCATCACCACCCTCTTGAGAAATGCCAAATGAGAGTGGGACACTGCCTTATTTTATTCTACACACTCACAGTCACCCCGATCCAGCCTGACACATGTTTCTTCTCCTTCTTCTCACTCTTGTTCTTGAGGTCAACAAGCACCTGGGTGAAGTAGCTTGGGTCAGAGTTCATCTGTGGCGTCTTTGAGTTCTCCTTGAAACTCACAACCAGTAGTGGCTCGAGGAGGTAAATGGTCTCATTATCCATGTAGGGACAGGAGAGGTAGGAGCAGGTGAGCACCACTGTCTGTATCTTGTGCTGAGGGCTACTCTGAGGAGACCACACTGCCAGGAAGGATGAAGGTCCTGCCAGCCCTGCAGCTGCTGGGAGTGACCGTGCAGCAGCATACGAACAGAAAGAAGTTAGTTGGGATGCAGTGTGTGTGGAGCAGCCTGTAAGTGTCCTTTCTGTTGGACCTCAGGTGGGGTCAGAGGCCAAAGATGCAGATAGTTTCATGGTTCTGCATTAGTGCAGAATTGTGAGCTGCAGAAAATTAGCATCAGTGAATTTGGGTGTTGTACCTAAAGTCCTCTTTCAGCTCCTACCATTAATGGGGGTCCTGATTGAAAGAACCAGGATGGACTTAACTGGACCTCTAGACTGCAATGTACTGGGGTGCTAGTTTTTGTTAGTGGACTGGGACATGGAATACAGTCAGTGCTGGGGAAGTAGCCTGGGTCACCAGCTAAATCACCAGCTGAGTATAAAGAGTCACAGTCATGGAGTGCTGGATGAAACAAAACCTCGGTCTGGATTTGTGCTTTCTGGACCTGAACTTTCCATCTCTGTCTGTAATGGATCACTTTTGTGAGTAACTTTCCCAACACTGGATGCAAATCCACTGGAAGCAGCAGTACCTCTCTTCCATCTTGCCTCTGAGTCTAATGCAGAGGTTCTGTTTTGATTTTTCACCAAGGTTTGGAATCCTGAATTTTGACTGATTGAGGCACAGAATGTCATGAGAACTGGAGGACCTGTGCCCACAGTTGGATGTGAATGTGATTCAGTGTCTTTCACTCAGAAACGGGCAAACTAGTAGAATTCTTTGATGAAACAGTAAAGCCCGTGTTTTGTATGTTTGTTCTCACAGAAATTGTTTGGTATGAGGGAGATTCTTCAGTCATGCCACTGGCTTTTCCTTTGTTGCGACTTTCTACTGGTGGAGAAATTAAGAATCCAAGAATCCAAGCACCTCTCAAAATCTAATTCAATACATTCTAGACCTGAAAGCAAAATTTGATTCACTGGGAACACTGGAGTACTGTTCGAAATGGACATGAAAAGGGCCTAATCATGCTACTCCTCACCAGTGGAAGAAGTGGTTATATTACTGCACATGTCTGTGCTTAAATAGTTGGCCAAGTAGCAAATGTTACTTATGGTCATGTGACAAATTATGGATCTACATTATTAGGATACATAAATCGATCTGGGAAGTTCTAGGTTTCTAGGTTTATTATATTAACCTAGGAAATCCTAGGAGAACTACAGTGTGCTCATGGCTTTCGGATTAGTGATCAGGCTGCAGAAGGAACCTGCTTGCCTCAAAAAAATTCTTCATAGATATCAATATGTTGCCTTTTCCTATGAGCTTTCAGTTTACTGTTAATGTGTCCTGCATATGATCTGGAAAATGGATGGATGTCATGTTCACATTTTACTGCTCATTGCCTTTCAGTTAAAAAAATAGGCAGCATTAGCAATGCTTTCAGTAAAATCCACTTGATTCCTTATTTTCTTTAATTTTTGACATTTAATCTACTTGGAAACAGCAGTCTTCCTGACCATTAGCCCCCATATGATGGCTTTATCAAACTTTTGTTTCTCCATTAACTGGGAAATATAATTTCCTCAGTAAGTCTGTTTTATGCTGCCTGATGGAGAAACCAAAGTTTTGGTCCAATGTTTATAGATCACGTTTTATTTTAAGTGAAATCTGTGGTGATTCTGTGCACATCGTTCCCAGCATCAGGCAAAACAACAAGGGTGTGCTGCTCTGAAACCCCACTCACGGGAAAGATTAAATATGAATCATTTTCCCTCTCTGTGGAGGTAGAGCATTTCATGGTGATTTATGCATTTTGTTCATTGTGTGGTGGGCATGCAAGCGCACTGTTGAATACATGTAAGGCAATATGAAGTGCAGTAAAACTGCATTAGAACATGCAATATTTTTATAATGCTGGGTTATCATCTTTGTATTTGTCCATTAAAAAAAAAAAAACTCTTAACCGGAAGCTGCCCATGTCGTCTTTTCTTTTTTGAAGGCACTAGGGTCTGCGTGAAGGTGGGGGGTGGGGGGGACACACCATCACAATGCCTCTTGGGACCTGTAGACTCCCTCAGTCAGCACTGACCAAAAATGTGAGTATTGGTATAATGATGATGCTGAAGGACCTGAAGACAGAGACACAGACACATCTCCCATTTGTGCGTCATGAACGATCAGTGCATTTTAATTTCCATCACAGTACAAAAATAAATAAAAATAAGCTGAAACAAACAAACAGAAGGTTCAATTACAGCGACAGCTTTTTTAAATAAACAATTGTATTGGCTCAACACCTTGGTCCCACCCCCTCCCAACAGTCAAACCCCACCCAAAACGCTCCTTTCTTGTTTTCAGACATCCCACTCCTTGTGTCCCTTGGCCCCATAAGAAAACAAATTCATTCATTCATTCATCAGTACAAACACACACTCAGTCATCCAACACATACTCATACACACATGCAGTCATTGAGAAAGCCTCTCATTAAATTCTAATAACACTATTTTTTTCCAACAAAGATGTACGCAACAAGATACACAAAAAAACCAAAGAGATTTTGAACAATTACTCATCTTTTTTTTTTTTTTTTTTTCCTTTTTTAAGCTTTTTAAAGTATTTTCCAAACAACTACTTGGTGTTGCAAGTGAAAAATGGCACATTTCTGTGAATCAGGGTAGCTGAATTAGAGTCAGCCAGAGGGATTAAAGTGCCCCCCCATTACTGACGCTAAAAGACTCCCACGCCCCACAAGCTTGAGAATGTATCGCATGTCAAGCTGCTTCTCCCTATTGCGTTACCCACTGGGACAATGGGCAGTCGTGGTCTTGACTGTAGATTAAAAGTCACTAGGGCAGGCTCAGTCCATGAGCACAGCAGATACTACACCTGCATCTCCAGCTTCATGACACACTGCTTTCACAGGACACGGCGCCACACCGTTACAGTACAAGTCCCACATGTCTGTGTCTTCTTTGCTTTAAGAAACCAGCGCTGAAGAAGCATGTATGGAGCATTCAAAGCCAAGTTTGATAAGATAAGAAACCCATTCTTTTCAGGATGGAACTGCTGTGATAAAGAAAATGAATCAATGTGTGCATATATTTGTCTTTTTTTTTCTTTTCGTTTTGAGAACGGAATTTGAAAGACACAAATATTGAAAGAAAGCATGCACAGTTGATCTCTGTTGGTGTGGTAATAAAGTGGGCAAATAATAATTTCTTTTTGTATATCAAGTTCCATTTGTTCTCGTTTGTGACCGTAATCCATTCTTAATTCTCTGGCTTGTAAAATGATGCTGTATTACATTGTGTTAGCAGCTGCAGACTGGGAGCCCAGGGGAGACTCCCGGGCCGTTTTTGCTGTTTGCTGTTGGAGATGTCGTGGGCTTCTCTCTGGCTTCCTTACAGACTGGGGTCTGCAATAGAGAAGTTCCGCCAAACTCAGGTGAGTCTTACGCTCCCCACGCAGCCGAGGCTGCCCTGTGCTTCACCTGCGCACTGATACATTGCTACTGTCATGCTTTTGGTCTCTGCCGTCAGCCATTAAGGTATCACACTAACACCATTCTCAAAAAGCCTCATGTTCTCTTGGCGGAATCCCCAATGAGAAAAACAATTTCTTTGCAGTTTTCTCTAACTCAGAATGATCTGCATCTGTACTACTGATCACTGTGAATCAGATTGATTTTTTTTTTCAATTAACTAATTGCTATAAATACTAGGCGAACTTCTACAATAAATATTTGCAGCCAGCAGTGCTCTATGCCCAGTACCAAACAGATCGATGGATGCCCTGCTTTCTTCATATTTCTACGTGACCGCTCTACATCCCAGACTTCAAAGAAAAAATATTCACTAATCATTTTTCTAGTGACTTAATCACATCCACAGTCTTCATTCCTGTCAAAAGTACTCCCACAAATTCCCAACGAAATTCTTACGAGATCTTCTGTGTTCTAAAATTGCCTCATTAAGAGCTTTTGACAAGTTCCGACTTATTCCCTTCTCATTACTGATAATCACTGAATCAATGAAGAATACACAATTTGTAATTCTAAAATTATTTTGCCAATGAAGCGAATAAATAAAACCATGTTCAGATAAACATTCAGTGTCAACTGAAAGATGTGTGTCATACGTAGCCTGCTGACCTTTGGTGTGGTTATTCAAGACCTGCTGGATTTTCATCAAAGGTGTGACACTAGTCTAAGACAGTTTGTGAACAATAAAAAGGTGGGAAGAGGATTCTGATTAAATCCAAACTGAACTCATAGTCCATTTTTCAAGCAATGCTGAATATTCTTGATTTAAAAGAAAGCATTCTCTGTAGATGCACCTGCTTCACAGATATGACGGGAAATGCATGCAAGCTAACTATGACCTTCATTAATACCACACAGATTGCATGGTAAACATGCACAAGGGTACAATTCTAAAAATAAGTAAATGAGTAGATAAATAAACATTGGTTGCCAAGAGCCTGTTATGCAATACTAAAATTAATTTATTTCTTTTCAGATGAAAACAAAGTAGGTCATAATTAACAATTGTTTTTTTTTTGCATTCATGGTCATTCAATCAGCCCTGCATCATTTCTCCCTCCTTTCTCCCTCATGCTCCTGCCTCTGTTCTGGTTTTGCACTGCAGGACCCAGTAATGGATGGCATATCTGAGACCATACTCTTCCGACTGCTCTCACTTTCATTGCACACCACCGCTGTGAGGGACACAAACGTTCAACCAATCAGTACCAGTTAGTCAAAGGGAGATTGTTGTTGCCGCTGTTCGCTCATGCATATTGGCAGAGATCAGCTAAGTGTACAGAGCCCGAAGACCGCCCTATGACATCAGAGCGGCATTTAACACATTGAACCCTCAGTAACACCAGCGAGGGAGAAACAGAGGGACTGCAACATGTTCGGTCCAATCCACATTCTGAGTTCTGGGATTATTTAACTTTTTTCTTCTTTTGTTTTGCTTTCATCTTCTTTTTTTTCCTCTTTTGCTTTGAATATTTTTGTGTCATGTATATATAAGAAGCAGAGGATGCGCTCAAGCCTGGCATTTCATTAAATCTAAACATACACCTCAGGGCCAAGGTCCTGAGGAAATGTTAACTAATTAAACAACTAATTTAAACATTTTTTTAAAGTACTTCAGACATTATGCATTCGTTTCCTCTTTTTTGGTGTAATACTTCAGTCTTTTAAGCCTGCATTAGGTGGTAGTAGGTTAAACCAGGTAAGACATTTGTCCCTCTGCAGCTTCTGTAGTTTTAGGAGGGAAGAGTTTGCATCTTCATTCATTCTGCCATGTACAAAATCAGTAAACAGATCTCCAACCATCTTAGTGCAGTTTAAAGCACTAAAATCCATTTGAACGATCTAGCGCCATAGCATTGGTAAACATACTGTGTATGGTATCAGTCATTTCCCACAACTTTATTCAGTTTAGATTTATTATTACATATTGTAACCGCAAGTTGTATGCTACCTTTATGGCACATTTCACTGAATGTGCCGTAAACCTAGTCATCTATCACCACTCTCTTGAGAAATGCCAGACAAGAGTAGACCACTGCCTTGTCTTCCACTCGACCCACCCACCCCACCCTCACCCCTGTTGTCCCTCACCGGTCCAGTCCGATGAGCAACCGGCTTCTTTCCTCCTCCTTTTGACTCTCGTTCTTGAGGTCAGCGAACACCTGGGTGAAGTAGTGCGGGTCAGAGTTGATCTGCAGCATCTTCGCGCTCATCAGGTTTATGATGGACAAGCAGCGGTCCCAGAAGGTCTCCTTGGAACTCTCTACCAAGAATGGCTTAAGGGGGTAGGAGATCTCGTTGCCCATGTAGGAATAGGAGAGGTACAGGCAGGTGAGGAGCACTGCCTGAAGCTCATGCTCAGTGGCCACCTCTGAGGAGACCACATCTCGGCACAACATATAGACGAAGACCACGTTGGCAGGAGTGATGAAGCCCTGGTCCTGCCAGCCCTGGAGCAGCAGAGAGCGGTCCACACTGCGCAGCCACAGCACCGGGTCTGTAGGCGACAGATGCTTGAGCCGGTAGCATCTTCGGCACAAGAACTCACCCAGGCATCGTAGCAGCTCACTGGTGGAGGCCTGCACTATCACCCGCTTTGGAGTACCTGGGACAGCAGTGGAACTAGGCAGGGGTACCTTCTTGACAGACGAAGCCACATTGCTGGAGGTCTTGGAGCCAGGGATCACTGGGGCAGCTGAGTCTTGGGTGAAGGTGGAGAGGTTGGCACACGACTGGGACTTCTTCAGGTTCTCATTGTTAAGATGGGTGACGTTGTTCTGGTAGGCAGTATTGGGCTGCACTTTCTTGGAGCCTTTCTTCTTGGCTGAGACGGCTACGATACGCTTCCAAGGGAGCACGTTGATAAGCGAGTGCCGCTTCACGTTTTTGTCTTTGGCGTTCTTGCTGTTCTGCACAGCTGTATAGGGGCCTACAGTGGCGGGCCCATCCTCAAAGAGCCCCGCTTTCCGGTAGCTGGGGGACAGAGACAGCACAGTGCCCATGGTGCTCTGCGCGACGGAGACAAGAGCAAAAAAAGATGCTAGCCTTACTGGCGTATAAGCGAACCAAATACAGAAGGTGAGGCAGGATCAGTGTCTGCCTCACTGCTTCCAAGTCTGGAGATCCTGCCTACAAGAGCCAGATTCTCTCAAGCAAAGACACCGAGGTAAAAGACTCCTCTGTAATGGCTGTGATGATGGATCCCTAGACTTTAAGTGCTGCTTTTATTTCCCTGTTTTTCCTGGAGAAACAGAGGAACTTCAGCCTGTGGGAGGAGAAAAGGTGTCATTGTTACAAATCTGATTACACAGAATTATTTTGATTCTCTCAGTATTTATCATGAAAGGTCTTTAGTAGTAATTTTTGTGTGATAAATATTGTATTTAATTTGACAGGAGACAGGTGTGTGCTAGTGCACATGAAGGCTGAGATAGAAGCATCTGCAGCGACGGTGATAAACGCAAAATTGGGAATCGCTATATCATTTGCATACACATGCACCTTTTTCACCTTCATTAATGATCAATACATATTATACATATTATATAATTATTATATGTGCTATCCCTGTTTCATTGGTGTCCAGACATTGCAAGATTTTGCCTTTATGTTGAGGATTGAGGTTTATTTTAATCCCCAACAAAAGAGTTAAATATAGTAAAAAGGTACTCAAAGATGTATTTTGGGCTATCCTGTCCTATTTCTTGTGTAATGCCTGTACAGGCATTCATCCATCCACCGGTGTCTGAACCTTACAGCTCTCTCTCATAGCTCATCCCACAGACGCTTACTGGGGCAGGTCCATTGTATAGTGACCACAGCTGCTGAAATGAATTTGTTACTGAAATGGGATGTTCTGAAATGAAACGTCAAAATGCCTGCACTGAACTTATTCCAGATGCAAACATATTTACTGTACAATGATAAATGATAAAGAATAATATGAAGTTTTATTTATAAAAAAAAATTATTTTTAAAATGCATTTTAACGTTTCCATAACATATTTAATATTATTATTATTATTATTATTATTATTATTATTATTATTATTATTATTATTATTATTATTATTATAGGCCTAAAAAGCACATGCTTTTATTGATGTATACATGTCGCTTTTGTTCATATATGTATGACAGTCTGGCTATTGTACGTATTTAAGTAATGCTAAAATCTATAAAATCTAATCGAAAGTTATCGTAAAGCATTAATATAACAATACATTTTCTATTACTATATTATTACAGTATACTTATTTTAATCGTGATTAAGATTGCCTGCGTGTTTTGTGACGAGTTCTACACTTGGGATATGGCATATAATAAAGAAATAGCCTACTAAATTGTGTTATTTTTAAACTAGGATCATATAAATATGTATATATTATTGATATTAGTCGGTGTAACTCAAATTCAGACGACGTATTTTAAATATTTGAAATCAATCTCCAGCTTATTAGCCTCCATCTTAGCCATGAAATGGAAGCCGAATATAAACACCGCAATTTCGAGTCACGTTCCTACACTTTACGACGCAAGCTGAATGTTTTTCACATAGCTTACTGAATTATACGACGTTGTAATTCGTCTGCCATTCAATTTTACATACACAAGACATGGTTAAAAAACCGGAAAAAAACAATTAATCACAAAATTGGTAATTTCTATATTTTGGTGATGTCGTCTGTGTCATTACAATTTAAGATGCTCATTAGTTGACACAAATAAATCATATGCACGCCTTTTCTCGGGGGCAGTGCAGCCTTTTAAGACGTAGGTAAAGATAAATTGGATGGAAGAACAATAACCAGCACAACACAAAATACTCACTGGATTTCGTTTTATCTTATCTCGGGCAAAAAGGTTCCGTGACAAAATTAATGTAGTGATGTTTTCCGATCCTGACTGAATATTGTCGTGTTGAGTCTGCGTCGCGTTGTCACCCGCTACTGTCCAAGGTTCTGAAATGGAGTGGTCGGTAGATAATAAATGCGATGTGGAAAATGGTATTCCCTGGTAATCTTCCTTCGAACTGATCCCAGTTATCCCACTGCAGTGTATTGTCACATATAGCAGGGATAACCAAAACGATTTCTTAAAACAAATTTACTATGAAATTAATTATGCCCGTCTTTTCCAGGTTTACTGCATATATAGCGTAATCTTTTTAATGTAAAATCGCTGCAAAACGTCTTAATCAAATAGCATCATAAACGAATTTAATCGCAAAACGTTTTCCTCTTCAATAATAGACAGAAAGAAAAAACAAATGTTCTTCGTTTTTTTGTCGTTGTCTTAATTTGGCTCGCACTAAAATATCTCAAAAGTCTCATAGGTAATGCCTTTCAAAAACAAATAAACATAAAAATATCCAAGCTCCAAAGACATGAAGGTCGATCTTTAAAGGAACAAACAAATTTTCACGCCTTGACGCAGGCATCCGCAGGTCCTCTGCAGATCTGGGTACAACAGGCAGGGCGAAGATGCTGTGCGCTGTGCTATTGGTCCTCGGCCGCGAGAGAAGCGCTCCGGAGCGTCGCTGGGCGCTGTAGACTGCGGACTGCTTTGCTCGGCGGGGGTCGGGCGCCGCTGTGTGCTCTGTCCGCGGTGCTGTAATCGCCGCTTCGTCACAGAATCTCACATAATCGTGTTGCCAGAAAATCAGCCCGCCCTCAGCACCTCGTCACTGGAATGGCAGTGCAAAAACAGATGAACTTGGTTTCTGTTTTCTTTTATAAGTAGGCCCGTTTAAATGCAAGGAAAATCTATTTAGTTTAATTTTGAGTTAAAACAATTTCGAGAAAGAATTTATTGGAACCAATACCCCGAAACCCTTGAACATCTTCATTTAAAGCATTAAACATAACAGACACACACGCACACACACACACACACACATATATATGTGCCTATGTTTGTGTGTACGCCTATAGCCTATATTTACTTATATATAAGTATATATAATAAATAAATCTTATCTTTGTGAGTGTGCTGTGCTAATTTTGACTAACTATGTGCAACTAGTAACCATGTAATTAAAATGAACACAAGACGAAGAGTCCGCATATAAATGATGAATGACCTTTCAGTGAACATATTAAAAACATATTTAAAAGCAGGACGGCAATTAACATGCATGCTGAGGACATTATTCCCTGATGTCGATAAAGTAGAACGTTAAAATAATGCATTTTATTACACTGTGTTAACCGGTGATGCAGGCTTTACTTCGGGAATAAATGCTAATACATTTACGAAATGAGTTAACACGTTTATGTTTATGGGGAAAACACAAATACGAAGACAACTACAATTCCCGTTACCGAATTTCTATACGTAGCACGTACACGCTCCTGCACATACGTGCATTAACGTATGACTCAATTTCCCGGCATGCTCTCTTATTCCACCGCTATCGAGTTTATTTGTAGGCTGGCAGGTTGTGAGTTAGTAAGATGGCGACCGCGGCGGTTGAGTTCCAGAGAGCTCAGTCCCTTCTCAACACGGATCGCAACGCGTCAATCGATATTCTTCATTCAATAGGTAAGTTGCTGCTATCTAGCCTAAAAGAAATCACTCTGTGCTTGGATTGTAGATATACCCTGTTCGGTCACCGACTGTCGGTTTTCCGTGGAGCCGGCTCGCTTGCTGCTGACTCACCGTCGCACGGCTAACGTGGCTAGCTAGGCCGGGAAACCCAAAACCCGCATCATTTTATTCACATAACGCCATTCTGCTTAGTTTCATCAAAATGAAATCTGTTGCTTAATTGCAAAATTAAAGCGTGAGTTGTGTATAAAAAGTTGTCTATTTTGGAAAGTCGGTAGTGCTTTTAAATGAGTCGCACGGGATGTATGCAGCCATGGATAGCCGCGTTGCAAGCGGTGCTGTTGAAAAAGGGTCTTTATCGACAGACAAGAAGATTAACCAACCAACTAGTTCGCTTAATTAATTTTGATACTTATTTTTTACCTCACGAGAGCGGACCTAACGCTACTGGTAAGGAGCATTTCATGCTACCTGAAAAAGGTGTCGAGTCAGGGCTAAGAAGGTAGGTTGTTAACTAACATGAATGGAGAGAAATTACCTAAAACTATTCCGTTAGTTATTTTTTTAATTGAATAGCTATGTGAAGACATGCACGGCGTACATTTTTGTCCATACAGGACATGGCGTAATTTCGTTAATGTACAGAACTGGCATAATTAGGGTAGGTAACCATAAGCCACAGGTTAAGTGTATGAATTTAGACAGCTGCGTTTGATTTTCGAGGGAATCTTTAGAAGTATGATGGTTGTATCATGAAAGCATCTTGACGCTTCATTCTGAGTCACTTTGGTGGCACGCTTGTACCTGAGCGACTCACCTGTGACAAGGTGTGGGTGTGTGCAATGCCTCCCACGACCCTGAAGATTAAAGACGTAAATATAAAATAATAAAGTAATACGAAATTTTCTGTGTATGTGTGAGTGAGGTTTGGCTTGATGTACGTTGGTATAAACAATGTTTATAAAGAGACATTTATTTCTGCACCCGACATACAGCGTAGACTCGCATTTAAAGTGACATGAAAACGAAGTGGTAATTTAGCCCAATGACCCCACAGAAGGCAAATTCGTACTTGCTTCGGCTTGTAACTAAAAACATGCATGAGCGTGAGTCCGCGCCAGCCAACCGTAAAGTATATAGGGCTAAATGTAGTTTAAAGGGATGGATGTGTATTTTCCACCGCTTGAATGGTCTTGGTATTTGGGGGAGGAGGGTAAATGCTCCTGAAAAAAAAACTGTTAATTGACTTATGCTGTTTTTTTTTTAATGGCGACGCAACATTTTCCTCTTTACCAACAGTGAAGAGAGATGTTCAAGAAGATGACGAGGAGGCGGTGAGAGTTAAAGAACAGAGCATCCTGGAGCTGGGAACCCTCCTAGCCATGACGGGGCAGGCAGCAGGTGGGGATGGCCCTTATTGGCAGGTGTACTCGCTGGGTGGTATGGCTGAATCACGTGTGTTGTATGTCTGGCTTTTCATTGATGTCCACTCTCAAGTATAGCCGGAGCAGTTATATTTAATGTAGTTTTTGAATGTACTTTGAACATTTTCTTTTTTATAAATGTTAAAGTTGACAGCAATTATGTGGGGAAAGTTGGAGGAAAAAACTTTGAGCCAGAAGCTGAGACTGATACCATAGTGAGGATTTTACTTTTTCCATGTTCAGATAGTGTCTTACCTTTGGAAGGGGGGGGGGGTTGCATCTTAAAATGTCCTGTAATAGTTGCACATTTTGCCCCTCTTTTAAAGTGGACTGCTTATAGTGGCTTTAAAACGCTCTCCAGCTCGCCATGGCTTCTTAGAGTCTATAGCAATACGGATCGAAAACTGGGAGCAAATCGGTGACGGAGAACTGTGGTTACAACCAGTGCTTTTACCCCACAGAATTGGGGGGGCTGCTGAAGTATGTGAGGCCATTTCTGATCTCCATCAGTAAGGCCAAAGCAGCCCGGCTGGTGCGATCCCTGCTGGACCTGTTCCTGGATATGGAGGCGGCCACTGGACAGGAGGTGGACCTCTGTCTGGAGTGTATTGAATGGGCCAAGTCTGAGAAGAGGACCTTTCTGCGTCAGGCTCTTGAGGTAGCCTCTTTGGCTGGCATCGCCCGCCTTCATGCATTAGATACATTTCATGAATCTCAGGACTGTTGGTGTTTATTGTAATAGATTGTCTATGGAGTTATAATCTCATTAATTGTTTTATTATTATTCTATGGCTTCTTAAACTTTTCTAATGACTTTGTAGAGCTGCCCTGTGCAACATGAATTTGAAAAAATGACCAATTTACTAATTCATAATTCATGTAAACAGGCCTGATTTTGGCTTTAGTGCAACAATTTCAGGAAATGTTAAATTGCCATATTCAGTGGTGCAGTTGCCGAATCCATCCTTTTATCTTATGACTATTTAACATGCAGCAGCTTCTGTAACCGTTGGTATTTGAAGTGCTAATGATAAACCGTTCATTCCACAGGCCCGTTTGGTTTCTCTGTATTTCGACACCAAGAGGTACCAGGAGGCATTGTTGCTCGGTGAGTCAGCTCACATTATGAGTGGGGAAAAAATGGAAAGTTTAGCCAGGCTGCAGATTAGTTAATTAAAAGAGGGGTCTTTGTGGTGACAGAGAAGCATGTATGAGATCACCCATCATGCCCTAAGGTGTTAAGCTTTTCTATGGCTTCTTTAATTTATCTGAATATCCTGTGCTCACAAAAACCTGATTTATAAAAAGGTTTAATAAAGCCAGATCTAATTATTGTTAAATTTATGAAAATCTGGGTTATTAATGCATAAAATGCTGTGATTGATTCTTGAACAATGGAAAGCAATTCTGTTCCAGTTCCAGTTCTTTTATATGATAAAAGATCAAGATGTGCTCCCCGTTTACTTTCAGAAGCATTTTGAAGTTTTTTCTCTTACTACTAGAACTAATTAATTTTTGCCCATGGTACCTATCCTGAACCTTCTCTTGACACTGTACAGTGCTAGATTTCCTGATGTCATTGTGAAGATGAAATGCATGTTGGGATGTATACCCAGTATTGTGGACTTTGATTTAAGAATGTCATTTTTTTGCCAATTTGCAGGGTCTCAGCTGCTTCAGGAGCTGAAGAAGATGGATGACAAAGCTCTGCTAGTAGAGGTGCAGCTCCTGGAGAGCAAGACCTACCATGCTCTGAGCAACCTGCCTAAGGCCCGTGCTGCGCTCACCTCTGCTAGGACTACTGCCAACGCCATCTATTGCCCCCCTAAACTGCAGGCTGCTCTGGACATGCAGTCAGGTAAGTACTGGCAGCTGCTCGTTCTGCTGTAACTGATTGCTCCATTCATAGACCTCTATACCCTTGGCCACCATACAAATATTAATCTTTCTTTGTGCTGGAGGTGCTTCTGTCAAAATAAGGATGTTTTTCCTCCAATTCATTGTGCTTTGTGAAGGGAACAAATGCACAACATGGTTTTCTGAATGTCTGCTACAATAAACTCAGATGTGCTGATGCACTGACCTTGACTCTCATGGTTTCTTATAAAAATGTTCCTTTCAGTTGGTAGCTTGAAGATGTTTTTTTGTCTTTAATACAGACTCTCTCTATTGTGCCTTTGAGCCCCAGATCATAACATCTTTTTTAGCATTACAAAGGAAATAGCTGATAACTGGGCTGCTTTTTGTTAGACTGAAAAATGACCTGAAAATCATTTTATTCTATTTCATTTTCTCCGCAGCCAGGTAAATGGCTATAGGGGGGCGAATACAGTCTTGCTTGAAATATTGGTCCATTACCGTTGTCCATACATGGTGGAATTCAGTTAGCCAGGTTTTTTTTTTTTTTTTTTTTTAAATCAGCAGGGATCAAGCTAACAGACTTGAAATCTGTGAAATTTACTAGGTTCTACTTTCAGAGCCATTAAGAAAATCCTTTAAGATCACCGCCTCTGCGGCCTTTAAAAGGTGCTCCCTCTGTGGCAGCTGACCCTGTCCTGTCATTAAATGCAGGAATCATTCATGCAGCTGAGGAGAAGGACTGGAAGACTGCCTACTCCTACTTCTATGAGGCCTTTGAAGGCTACGACTCCATTGACAGCCCACGGGCTATCACTGCCCTCAAATACATGCTCCTCTGCAAGATCATGCTCAACTCGTAAGTGCTGACACATCGACCCTGACTCATGATTTCTGTTTTAAAAAAAATGTTCCTTTCAGCTGGTAGCTTGAGAAATTTTGACTCCTTAATTATTCATGAACTTATGCAATGTTCAGGAAATCTTGCGTATGCTGCAGTGTTTTAGATGCTAAAGCAGAATGGGAACCAGATTGACATTGTAACCAAAATATTCATAATTGCAGAGGAGCCTGAAATAAGGGAGTAAGGATGTGTAATGAAAGCTGGATGAAAGAAAGAAAATCTGATTTCTTATTGCAATTTAATGCTGAAGCGTTTTAGCGGCTGGTCTGAGGGTGCAGCATGTGCTGATCTCTCAGTGATTGACTTGTGCTGTTGGTCTTTCTTTAGTCCAGAGGACGTGCAGGCTTTGATCAGTGGGAAGCTGGCTCTGCGATACGCCGGGAGGCAGGTAAGGCCAAATGCCTTGCTCTGAGTGCCTTTGTTCCTACCAATAGCTTTGTCTTTTTTTAAGTTGGGGGCTGTATAGGGGAAGTTTTGATCTTGTTTGTAAAATTTAGTTTAAAGCACATTTCAAGAACACAGCGTGTTCACAAAAGAGCTATACACTTCAAAGTCGCACAACAACAGGTAAACTAGAACACAAAAGATACATTACATATATAAGTAGAAAGAAAAATCACTAGTCAAAATGCCCCTAGAATGAGTTCTTTGTGGTAAACTGTGTTCAAATTTTATGTGGCATTTTATGTACAAGTTTCTGCTTAAGTTGGGCTTGAAACTCTCAGCATTTAAGAAAGGGGTGGAGTTTTTTGGGGAAACTTGACTCCAAAAACTTGTAGTCATTGTTCAGGGATGGGAGTATCTTAATTGTATATGGCATTGTTCATGTTAGCTGTTTTGAAGTTGTTAGCTTGCTTCCCAAATGCATATGATGCAATGAAGGTGTGCAGTGTTGAAGGATAATTGTAAATGGGTTGGTTTATGAAATAGCCCACTATTAATGTAGGGTCCAGGGAAGTAAGGGAGCAGTGAAATATCGAGGTTAGAAAATAATAGCTATTTTTAACCGGTTTGAGACTGTCTGATTTTCTTTAAACAAGTATGCATTGTAAATGCTGAGTATGCAAGGCCAAAACTACTTTACAGTGAAAGAATTGACTAATGTACTCTAGTATGTCTAACTACATAAACTCTTGCTTTTAAATGTTGGTTTCAGTTCACCTCATATTACAAGTGACTCTGACAGTGGCTAGACTTGTTAATGTTCCACTCTGGTCCTGTACCAGTCCTTATGTGTAGGTCATAGCAGGGGAGTGTCAATTTTGTGTGTGCGCTAAGAAAAATGTTTTCTTAAATATGAAATGCAGATATGTTTCTGGATTATTTTCCAGAGTGTAGCCTCTCCGGTGACTTGGTAAGGGGGTCTTCAGGGAGCTGGAGGCCCTGTGAGGAGCATCCTGAATGGAGGGCAGAGACTCCAATGATATTTGCAGCTGTTGCACTGCTGGCACTTGGGCTCTGAGGTGTGGCAGTTTCAGACAGAGAGGCAGCTGGTCAGGACCTTCTTTGTGGTACTCTGGTAGAATATGGTGAGGATGGCCTGCTCTCCTCCTCGCTATAAGTGGAGATGCTACTGTGCTCTCTTGGGTGGAGAGATGGTGTTGAAGACCCACTACTGTTGTATCAGTAGTGAACTAGATGTTTTGTTTGGGGTGTGAACTGCACTTGGTGGTACAGTAGTGTGTGATGTGAACAGAAGTGAGTTATGGTGGTGTTGCCATTCTAACTGTTGTTACAGAGGAAGATGAGAGTGCAGCAGACTTCCAGGGGATGATTGTATCAAATACTGAATTAAATTCTGCACAACATTCTTACAAAATTGACTTTCTTTATCCAAGTGTCATATGGTCAAATGAAGGGCAGAGAATATGGGATCCTTGTGCCGGTTACGGTGATGTGTAAACTGGAAGGAGTGTGGTGAGCTGGGGGGACAGTATTTGTTGACTAGTGCCTCACAGCCCTTCATGCTGTCTTGTGTGAGTGCTTTTGAGGTGATGGAATTTAAGGCAAAACAGCATGTAGGAGTTCAAGGTTTTGTTAATTTCTCTTCCAATAAATGGCAGTCTTTCGAGCAGGGCTGTTCAAATCACAGTTGCAAGGTCTGAGCACTGTTGATTTTTCCAGCCTTCCTGTGACCCAGGTGTGAAACCTTCAGCCAATCAGAATCAGTAAAACTAACTATGTGGTACCTCTGTATACGTCCGATTTGGCATAAGTCCAACTTGGTATACGTCCTGTTTGAACGTGAGAAATTTTACTTGCTATACAACTCGCGTGCTAGAACGTGTATGGGTCAAAATGAGTCACGACACCGTGCGCTGCCCTTGTTTACCTCTCAAACAGCCACTACTGTCCACGAGTGTCAGTGCCATGCTACCATTCAGTGAATAACCCACACTATAACTCTCTGTGAATTTTCACGTGATTTTGTGTATTTTCAGGAGGGTAAAGTGAGATTAAATTTTCATTTATTTAATCTAATTGCTTTTGCATTTATGTATTTTAGTATTAAGCAGTGTTTAATTTATACAACCCCATCAATGTATAATGTGCCAATAACAATAGGTTTTTTTCATGGGAACGGATTAATCATTTCCCCCTACTTAAACCTTGTTTGGTATAAGTCCAAGGATCTGGAATGGATTAAGGATGTATACCGAGGTACCACTGTACTAAAGAATTGAAAGCAAGGCCTGGATTTGGAATAAGAGTCCTGATTTAGAGTCCTGATTTAGAGTCCTGATTTA